GAAAGGCCTGGACCGTTCAACCTGAATTTACCCAGAGGCACAATCTGGCTTCCGTCAGACCATGCTCCTGGCTCATTCAACCTTGATCCGTACCTGAGCGGGAGCCGGTTACAGATTGCGCTACTAGTCTACTAGTCCTGTATTGGTGTCCCGCTCGGCTACTGGCCTATAGTCGGGTCTTTTTAGTTGATGTCCATCCGGATTCAGAATCTGTTTTATGGGGGGGTGAGACTGGCAGCAGCAACACCGCGATGTGTGTGGATCGCTTGATTGGTGGTTGGGGCAATGTAGAAGCACGTTTGAATCGCGCTGCCTACGTTGGCAACGATGTCTGGTGTCAGGTGCAAAGGTATGGGATGGATCGCGGTGCTTCCCTCATTGGTACCTACGATGGTGCTGCTTTGATTATTGGTAGAATTGGGGTAGAGGACTCTGCATCTTTGGAGGAGAGGCTTCGTGTGCGAGACCAAGTTGGCCCACTATCAGAGAGCGAGTGGTCACAACAGCGAGAGGTGTTACCATATTTTAAGTTGGATAGCCTCGCCGTGCTTATTAACGAAGAGAATGGCCACAAGGAGATTATTCTGAACCTGATTTACATGTTAACGAACGAATTCGTGAGATATTGCGCGCTAAAGAATTACGACCATCTGATTCCCGTGGAAGCTCGGCAAGTTCTCAGGGAGAAATCGCTGTACGATAAAGAGGACATCGATCAGCGGATTGAGACCCGTAGGCTTCTGAAGGAGATCCGTCTGGTGCAATGCGAAGGACGGCGCTGCTAAAATTGCAATGGATATGGCGAATAAGCTGGCTCAGTTCGGGAATGGTCTTGACGACTTCACAGATGTATCAAGGGACGACTTTGAAGACATGGTGAATGTACGAGGCGATCGAGAGGGTGACTACCTTGCGGACATGTACATCGTTACCTGGAAGGCCGAGACAGAGACGAAAAAGGCCGTGCTGAAGCTAACCGGATGTGGTGAAGCAGGATGTGGTCACTTGTTTAAAGAAGTAAGAGCGTACTGCAGACTGAAGGAATGTAAACATGTACTGAAGCTGTATCAGTATGGCATGTACTATGACCATCATCATTAGCAGAGCCCCCGTACGCTGATAACAGCGTCGCGCTATATGGAGACTCCGTCGCTACGGTATCTACTTCGTGGCCACACACTTGCTGAGACGACGAGAGGTAGACGTTGACTTGGGTCCGCTAGCATATGGTCGAGACCAACTACTACCTTAGACACCTGTATCCTCGAATGTGGTCCCGCGTAGACTAGTTGGGTACCAGGTGGACCTAACTGCAAGATATCGCGCCGCCTTGACGGCGGTAGCCGGCCAGAACGTCCAAGAGCCAGTTCGAGCACACACTAACCGCGACAGCGACTTCTACAAGTATTCCGTGTTAGCTTGGTGGAGGAAGTTTGGCGGTAATGACCCTATGCTCGGCTTCCACAGTGATCTTGACCGACCTCTTAGGTGCATGCTATACATAGCCAGCTCTTACGCGTGTACGAACCCTTTCCTGGTTTCCGACTCCTTACCAATGTATACTCACCATTCCCCCATTCTCGCGACGTACACATCGAAGTGACATGACTACTAGTGAGGACTCGATACCAGTGACAGCCCCGTCTCGACACCGGCGAGGGTGTCAACCCTCAGGAGCGCCCGACCGTTGGTCGATGCATCCTTACCAGCACAGATGGCAACTTTATCATACACTTCATGGAACTGCTACTGCTGGCAACCCAATTATACATCACGGTGTTGCTGCTGCCAGCCCTTCGGGGAGTAAGACCAAACCGACTCAAACGAC